TTGACATTTTGGGTCAAGTTGTTCATCTGACCTAGCAAAATGATTAAATGTTGGTCCTTCTCAGTATTGTTGGTTTTGGCCACAAGGTCAATGAATTTGACTGCGGTCTCATAGGAGTATTTATCGCGATCGCCTGGCATAAGTCGGTCGATTAACTCTCTGTTTTCGGGACTTAGACCCCTATAGAAGCATTCCAGTAGAACTAAATCAGGGATTTCATGAGTTGGGCATTGTATCAACAGTGTTTTAAACCCCATCCACGACTCATGAAAAGGTTCTACTCCTAGATGATTGAAGTTCAGAATGTGATCTCTGAATCTCACACTTCTACTAGGAGGTGCTCCATTGGTCCACCAACCCCATCATGTATACTCATTATCCTGTCTCAACACACACAGACAAACCAGACAAAATGAAAAAATTAGGTAAGTAGACTACGACTAAAAAGAACAAGAATTCCACTAATCTAAAAAATTTCAAATAACACCACTCCCCGCCAGTGGCGCCATGTTGATGCTTATCGTGACCAACGACACTAACCTACGGTATGAGTGTCTACGATCGTCGATAGTATAGTAACCCAACTAAAGGTTGGGGTCGTGTCCCAAGGGAGTGGTTTTGAGAATTGATAGAAAAATAAAATTTAGCTCTAACTAGTCGTAGCTAAGGACATTAACGATTAAAAACATAGTAAATTAAAGGGGGTGACACGAAAGTGTCAAATATCAATTGGCGGTTTTGTCATAAGTCGTAGAAATAGCAAAAAATAACAAGAAAATCAAGTATGGGGAAAAGTTCTTGGAATGTGACCACAATACAAGTTGAGATAAATAGTTGGGTACATGCTTTTGACAAGAAATTTGTAAGATAATAGTGACTAGGCTAAGCTTTAAATGGAAATAAGTTCCCTCTCGGGCAACTTACCCCATTTCAAATGCGTTCCACTCGGACACCCATTTGCCGCATGAAGACCAGACTACGCCTTATCCCACTCACTCTCTCGAGCTGAGTGTTAGGATATGAGACTAGGGCTCACCTTCTCGGGCTGAACCTCATGTCGACCCACTCCTTAGGCCATCAGTCTACTGGTCTTGGTTT